CGGAGGCAATTAAAAGCACCCTGCAAACTATTATCCAATGAGCATATTTCCAGCACTTAAACACTTTCAATAACAGCCCATACCGCCGTTCAAGTCCCCCTATCATGATGAATGAAAACAATCTGCGTGTTGATGGAATGTACTCTCTTTCTATTGACGAACACGTCCTCATCTTTTGATGGCGCAATTATTTTTATGTGCGTCCCGTCAATAGCACCGACCACACCGGGCATACCTGCATTGCCATGAAGTTGGCTTTGATCCTGTGTAGTTGTTGATTGTCCAAAGGAAACCGGATAAACTGTTGGATGATATGTGGTCTAGAGAGCGCGTTGATGGTTTGGTTTATGGCACAGCTGACTGATGGTTGCGATATTCCTAAATCGTCGGCATTGCAAAGTTGCATTTTCCCTGTTGCTAAATATCGTAGTGTTGCCAAACATTTTTATTTCCGGACTAATCGGGTTATTCCTGTTAGTCGGGGATGTTATTGCATCCCGCACTAATTCCACAACAAGTTTGATACCCTCACGATTTAGCCTATATCTCTTGATCAATTCACAGTCTTCCATTGTCTCCAAAACATTTCGTCTCTCAGCCATTTTCAGATTCTTTGTGAATAGGTCTTACTGAGTTAGGAGTCCTCTCGAGGACTTTTAAGCTCTCCCAGACTTATGTGCTACTTTTAGGCCTAAAATACTTTGTGAATTGCTCTTAGTGAATAAAATTAGGAGTCCTAAATGTAAGACTGACACGCCCATTATGCTTAGGAGTTTCTCCTAAATCGCCAGTTAGGAGCTACTTTTAGCCCTAAAATCCTTTGTGAATACGGCCCCTGGTCTTTATTTTTCTCTGTCTGAAACCAGAGCCCAGTCTGCTCTGATTGGTTAGCTGGCCAGCTCTGTTGTGATTGGTCAACTTCTTGGAGATGTCCCGCCCTTTAGACTATCACGTACAATGTGTTGAAGCGCTAGCCAAAAGAAGCGTGATTGTAACGTAAAGTAGTGATATCATTATGTATCAGAAGTAAACAAAGGAGTCCAATCACAACAGAGCCGGCCAGCTAACCATTCAGTGTGTTGGAGGGATTTTAGCCTTCGCGGACCATATACCTGCACAAAAACCTACATAACACACTACAGGAAAGGGAAACCCAGATAAAAGCATAAAAGGTCGCCTTTAACCATTTCCATTTCCATGAAGGAGTTTGAAACAAAGTGCCTTCTGAGTGCCTGTCCTTGTATCTACTATTTAATGGAGATTATGTGTGGTGATCAGGGGAGACAAGGTGTAATGGCTGTCATGGCGACACTGCTGCCACTATATGAGGTGATGAGTGTGGTTGCTTTGGTAACAGCAGTGACCCGTTTCCTTTTCAAATGAGTAAAGCGTGGATAAGCAGTTGAAGTTTATTTAAAGTTCAGACTGTCAAATGAAAGGAAAAACTTCCAGGAATGTGGGATGGTTTCTTTTTTTAGGGATTGATGTTGGGGAAAGCTAAAAGTCTCCTCCACATTCTCACCGATGCAGGTTTTTACAGAATTTGATTTGAACTGTGCTGGTTTCTTGAGGGCACCACGGCTTTAACTTCTTTTCGCTTTCTAGCTACACCTTTTCTAACATTCTACCACAGCAATACAGTTCAAAATGTTCCAAAAAATGTGTTTCGAAGCCTGCTTATTTAATGTTTATCTCTTTTAACTTCACATTAAATATCAGTTCACTTATGGTTGTAAAGCATTCCTTTGAACCATTTATGAATGAATATGTTTTGTAGCATTTAGCAAAAACTTAATGAGCTATTTTGAATGGACATAATACTTTATACAAAAAAAGATTATTATTTCATCAGGTACAGCTGAGTATAAAAGGCTATGTCACCTTGAGTTCAGTCTGCAGATCGACTTCACATATAGATATGATTGTGATACGGTCTACACACAGCACAATTGTGGACACACTTAGACAGTGTGCAGTTGCTACGGGCCTGTCAAAATCCAGCAGGTGCATTACAGTAGCTGTGATGAAGAAAGATGAAGTAAAAGCAACGACAGGTTGGAAAAGCTTCTCTAGTCTAACTGTAGGTCATGTTTGCCAGTCAGTGCTTATAAATGTGGTGTTTTTGCATTTGTTTGATGATATTATCTGCATTACTTTAAGGCGTCATTTAAGAGGTTTATTTTTTATGCAAGTGTGAAGGTTCAACCTTTCTTAGATTTTTTTCCTGAAAGTACTTTTTATGCTTTTTTGTGTTGTGTCTTTCAATAGCCATAAGAGAAAAGAGAGAAAAGGACGTTATGGTGATGCTGCAGTGCTTTCTGTCCTCTAAAACTAAAAATATAGTGACTGTTAATAGTCCCAACTAATGTATCTAGGTAATTATTCACATTTATTTTTACATTTCAAAGTTAAAATTCCATTGGACATACTGTTGATGATGATCTTGGCCGACCACTTGGAGGTGCCGTCCAGGACGCTCTGCTTGATGCTCTTCATGTGCTGGACGTGGATCGTTTTGGAGATATTGAACACGCTTCGGATTTCATCGAAGATCTCCGGTTTGTTCCTCTCGCGGATCTTCATCCTGTCCTTCATGGCCATGATGATGTGCTGCGTCCGGTCCTCCGCCCCGGTTTTGGAGCTCTTCTCGGCCGCCCCTGAAGGAAAACAAAGAAGAATGAAACAGGAAGGGAAGGGTGAATGGTGAACAAAAAGTAAAATTAGAAGCAACATGTTCAAATTATGTTTTACTGATGGATTTTCCTTTTCGGGTAACAGTAAGGTTTTCAAACGCCCCTACGTTTTTTTTTGTCAACCTCCCTTACTTTCACTCGATGAAGCGATGGCCGAATGTTTCCTCTAGCAACACTTTCCAATGCTCAACTCAATTGTTGTAAGCTCTGGCACGGGCATTTTTTGAAAACTTTCGTTCACTTCAAAAGGTAGCAATCATAGATATAAAAGTAACAATAATAGAAAACAATTACCTTTTGAGATGGGGTGAATCTCTATATGGTAACCACTTACAAAATATGGACATTTTGGCATGGTTTTATGTATGTCACAACTTCTCAAACATCAAATGTACGGTATATACTTTTCAAGACCAAATTCCCCTAAAGGGGATTGTTTTCTTCATACTGTAGGTTACTACACTGAGCATTTCTATAATGATAACTAGTACCTTTTATTACGTAGATGACAGGTGAAAAAGCACAAAAACAGCCCAAAACACAAGCAAATGAAGAAACTTCTTCACCAACTTGACAAAACATGCGCACTGTTTACTGAAAGTGCTGCAAAAACAAAATGCTGCAAACACAAAAAGCTGCAATAACCTCAAAACACAACTTAAACAGGGACACTAAAAAGTGACACACACAGCTGGGATTGGAGCACTTAAAGACATTCGTGGATTATAAAGTTAGCCAACTGTCACTCTTTGAGCAGATCCATTTAGTTTATGCAGCGCTTTTAGTAAATGCTGCACATGTGTTTTCAAGTTTTTAAAGGCACTGCTCCTTACAGATGTAGCACTTCATTTCAGACGCCTTCCCTTGCGGGTCCGTGATATGCACGGGGTGGGCCCCTGCTGAAAAGGAAACCCCCCCCCCGCAGGACTTTGTACGCAACCGTGAGCAGAATAGTGTAAGTTTTCCATCGTTAGATCTATCATAGGTTTCGATCTCGTTGATTATGCTTTTGTCATGAAAACTGTTGACGGCACTTAGATATGTAACTTGTGAGGATGTTTTTACTGGTAGAACGACGTTACCAATAAGCGATACTCGGTTTGAATAGAGTTGTGTGTTGTACGATGTGGCTTTGGATGAAAAGTTCTGGTTGTTAGGGGATTTCCCTAACAAAGAAGTAATGCATCACAATGGATGTGACTCGTAAAGATTTAGCTATATGATCACTGGAACAATAATGCTATTACCTGTCCCTTTTTCGTGTTTTTGTCGGGTTTTGTGTCGTTTTACTTCTTTGAAGAAGTGGTTGAACTGTTTTGACGCGTGACCAATTGACTTTCAGACGTTTTTGGTTTACTGACGTTTGTGTTTTCGACGTTATTTGGAGTTTTGTGTTGAATTTGTCCCTGTGTTTTACTGTTGTGTGTCGACCCTAACCTGTGATTTCTGTAAGCACGAATATTTCAATCGTGACAGTGAGAACTCGTCTAGGTACAATCGAAAACTACATACTTAGCGAAAAAAGATTTCACACGACGCATGTAACAAAAGTATTCACAATTCAATTTCACACGTATACCCAGACGTACGAATACGTCTATTGACGAAGGTGTAGTAATGTCCTGCGCGATATCGCATTCCGCCGCGCGATAACACTCGACCCCACCAGCGACAGACCTATATTCCTTTACAAGGAGGGAGTACAGAGTGATAGACGAGAGTACCTATCGTCCATGTCACCACGTCGGTGTATACTTTTATTTGGTGCGACATTACGAATTAGTACCTAGGAGCACAGGTCACCTCGAAACTAATATCGTACGCTGAGACATTGATGGTACACTAAATTTGTGTAATAAAACATATATTTTTGTACCACTACAAAACATTTCACAATGTCAGATAAATAAAACGTGTCTATATCTATAAGGATAGGCACTGTAATACCTATAATTGTTTATAGGGCCTGAATAGTCTATGGACATCTAGATAGTCGACCAAATAAAAGTGTACTCAAGGTCACACCGTCGAAAAGTGCCGAGGGGGACCACACTAGGTACTAGGTAACGTCGACCCAAAGTAATTTAAATG